TGATAATCAGACTATAGATACTTAAGATCACCTGATTTCTAAAATTAAGAACAGGTTACACCATACAAATAGCTAAGATAAAGTAAAAAACAAATATCATGTATCATTTATTGAAAGTCTGAATATATTAGGTTCGAAACCTCCGAACCTCGCAAAAAATAACCAACAAAATTTCAACCGCCGCAAACACGCCGCAAAAACATTTCGTAAACCAAAACAAGACACGTACCAAATATACTTTTTAAACAAAAATTAGCGTCAAGACATAACAGCCGAACACAAATACATTATACAGTAACAGATACAGTAAATGATGACATAAATTGACCTGGAAGGAATATTAAATCAGCTAATTTTTTTGATTTAACTGCAGCTTCATACGAAGAGAGAACTAACCCATTTAACCCTCTAACAAGAACATCAAGAAAACCTAAAAGGGGTGTCAAAATCTAAGCCCATAGAAAAATCAAGCCTGGTAAATACACCATGCGTCAACAGGAACAGCTTCACTTGATACAACAAAAACACCAACACCATAAAAAGGAAGCTAACTTTTTCAAACTTTTCACAAGTTTATGGATAACTTAAGTCCGGGTTAAGTCGCCCCACCACCTTTGATACAGATAAAAGTAGCCCACTACACCCAAAATCAACATTCAGTCTATCAGGTTAGATCAACCTATTTTTACAAAATCCTCAAAAATGTACGGAATACTTGTTTAAAAAGAAAGACTCCATCGGCGGGCCGAAATGAATTGAAATCGATTTTATACAGATTATATGGCAAAGAACTTCACAACTTTGATTTGCATCGATTTAAAATCGACTTAGTTTGATGCAAAAATTTAGCTTAAAAATCAATTTCAATCAATTTTAATTCGAAATAAATCCATAAGTGTCAGCTTTTTTGGTTTCATTTTTATGCAGACTTTGAGTAAGAGAAAAGAGATTTTAATAAGTTTGTGTCCATTTTTTGTATACTTAATTTGTACAGATACTTACAGATTATAATCAGACTTCTCGACTAGCAAACAAAAAAAACGGAAACAAAATTTGAAGATATGCTCTTCATTTGAATTTTCGTGCTGATATTTGGGCTGAATAACACTCTGAGTATAACTATAATGTATATTTTTTTCTACTTTGATTTTCACAACTACTAACTTGTAAAGATTGAAAGTACAATCAAGGTTCATCATCTTGATAGAGAAAAATTTATTATATTCATAATCATCAACTAGTTAAAAAAAAGACACATTCTACCAAATTAACATTGAACGAACGTACTCATCGACCCAATATTTGTAACAAGCAAAATGACTAAAATAATTTGAGCAAAACTCTATTCCATCAATGGTTTATTTCCTGATATCACCTATGAATTAAAATTCAAATATTAAACTATGGTAGACAAAATCACTCTTACAACGGTACCCAACGACAATTGGGATTCGATTGAGGTAAAACTTTTTTGGAAATTAACAAAATCAGTTAGCAAACCTATCACTGAATTTCACAAATAGTAGAAATAAACTATGATACTGGACAAAACTGTCGAATAAGTGGAAATCACATGAAAATTAAAGAATGTAGAGTACTATGCAGAAAAATCAAGCTAATCTGAAAAAAGAATAGAAGTATTGTTCACGAACTCTCGCGCACGACTAACTACAAAATAATTGTCAGAAGATATTTTTCAACTTAGCAAGTAGCTAAAATTTTTGCTAGAATTTTTTTTCACAAGTAAGCTCTTGTGACCTTAACATCCTATTCTACTACGCACAATTCGTTGAACTCCATTGTGCTTCCTGGTTTTACCTCGACTCGGGTTCGGTAACCTAAAAGTACAGTCAATAGCTTCATGGCTTTGTCCTGATACGAGCAGTCATGTTAAGTAGTTAAGATTTGTGTTTTTTTTGTTTATGTTTTAAACTTTAAATTATTAACACACGCTTATTACAAAGTCAACTGATTATACAAACGTGCACTTCAAAAGAAATTTGAACAGAAAAGATTGAAACCTTTTTTTACTGAAACAACATTGAAATACTGAGAAAATGCGACCCTAATTTGGCAGTAAATCGGATGTGTGGATGCTACATCATAGTAAAATAATTTCAGTTTCAAAATCAATTTCTATTTCTAGTTATATTAACTAAAACTTGACGTTAACTAAAATTGTTGATCGCAATTGTCCGCCTTCCAATTTTTTTAATGCAACAGAGGCCAATTTGCTTATGCAAACGCCCTCTACAGTTACATATGATTAATTGTTCCGACTTTCAAAGAAAGTAACAGAATATTTGTGCTCAGGGTTGCTTCTGTAGTTAATTTTTGGCTATCAAACTCTAACAAGACTTGCTACTTGCTGCATCTTGTAGCTTTTTTCTTAATATGCCTAATCGGCAGTAGCGTGCCGGGGGAGGGGCGGTCGCCCCCCCCCCCCTCATTTCTTGTTGCTATATGCTAATATGAACAAGACTGCTCGCATCAGGGCGAAGCCCTGAAAGTTCCGGCTGCCTTTTAAGGTTTATGAAGCAGTAATAACATTAAAAAAATTCAATGAAATAAAACAAAATGAAAAATTGTTTTCTTCTAAAATTTGAAATTTTTTATGAAAATCATCCCCCACACGCCATATAAAGTACAATAGGATTGTTTTCGCTCCTTGTGACAAACCATTTATGGCAAATAAGCTTCTTTTAACCAATTTGGAACGATTTCTAAGACGGATTAACTCTCCGCTTACGCGTTAATAGCGCGAAAAATATCGCGCGTTAATTGTCCCAAATTGGTCAAAATGGCAAACTTTAAACCCTCATAACTTTACGAAAAATGATCACAGGTAAAATATCTTTTCAAATTCAAGCTCAAGAAAACAATACCTTTCGAATGATATAAAAATTTTTGTCAAAAATGGCTAGTTAAAAAGTCGAAATTTGTCTGAAGAAAAAAAAACCCACCTCGAGCACAAATATTCTGTTACTTTCGTATCGAAAGTCGGAACAACTAGCAGATTTTATACCAGCTGAAACGTAGTAACGTCTTGCGCTCAAACTCGAAAATAAATTTCATCAAAAAGTATTTTTTCGCGAAGTTATAGGGATAAAAAAAATTTCATCTTTTCGTCAATTTAGGATAGTTAAAGCACGATATAAATCGTTGCAAAACATAAATGGCAAAATTGTCCGGCTACCAAAGCTTTCCAATTTGAAGTGAGGCAGACTACTTTGTTTAACTGATCCGACCTTCCTGGGGTGGTTTTTGTTCCGACTTTCGATACGAAAGTAACGGAATATTTGTGCTCGGGGTGGCTTTTTTTTCTTCAGACTAATTTCGACTTTTTAACTAGCCGTTTTTGACTGGTTTTTTTTAATATCATTCGAAAGCTATTGTTGTCCTGAGCTTAAATTTGAAAGAGTATTTCACCAGTGGGGGCTTAAAAATTGTGGGGGTTTAAAATTTTCCATTTTGGTCATTTTGACCAATTTGTGACAATTAACGCGCGATGTTTCGCGCTATTAACGCGTAAGCGGAGATTTAATCCGTCTTTGAAATTGTTCCAAATTGGTTCAAAAAAACCTATATGCCATAATTGATATGTTAATAGGCGCAAAATCTATCACCTTGTACTTAATATGGCGTGTTTCTGAAATTTTGTGGGGGGATGTTTCTGAAATTTTTAAAAAATATGATTTTTTTTTCTACATTTAATTATTTCATGTTAGTACTGCTCCATAGACCTTAAATGGCAGTCAGAACATTCAGGGCTTCGCCCTGATACGAGCAGCCTGAATGCTTCGCCCTGATACGAGCAGTCTTGTTATGGTTTGTACATACCGTCAAAATTGGAATTTTAACCAAGCGTTTTGATCAAGTAGTTTAAATCAACTAGAAAATATTGTTGTCCTGAGCTTAAATTTAAAAATAAATTTCACATGTGGTCGTTTTTTGCAAAATTATGAGGGTTTGAGATTGGGACTACTTCGACGACAAAAGGAGATGATGAAAGCGCGATCTGTTTCAGTGTTTTGTTCTATTGAAGCGTAAATGGCAAACTAAATCCCTATTTTTTTCTACGAATTCGTTACTACACACAATAAATTGTTTGGTTTTTCACTTAGGCGAGAAAATGTAGCAATAGTAGTTCTTGAAACCTACTGCATTTTTTCTAGCAAAAATTCTTCTAACGACAAAAAGGGCAATCGGAACATTCAGTGATTTGTCATGACACGATCAGTCTTTTTATCACTTTATTCTGAGCCAAATTTATCACAATTTTTTAATCATTAAGGTGTAGGGAGATCAATTAAAAAAATATCAAAAAAATTCAAGCTCTTTTTTTGTAAAATTTCATCAATTTTTTGAAGTCGTTTTTATTTCTGAACAGTTTGCGCATTTTCTTTTGAGATTGAACACTTAATTTTTGTCGGGCTAAAAAGAAACTCAATTCGAATTGGTGCTTTATCTGGTAAAAATGACAGTTTTTAGCTATCAAACGAAAAAAATGCATCTATACCTTTTTAGAAGATTATGCCCTTCTTAATTTCTTTTGGGCTACATTTTCGTCACCAATTGACCCGGTTGCTTAGCCATAAAATTTGGTTGACTCGAAAAGCCAAAAATGATTAGTTTTTGAGGTAAAACAAGGAGACAGAGCAGGCAAAATAAACTGCACAATATTAATTTGATTTTCTAACGTTTTTTGTCCGGATAATTTAAATCAGAATTTGAAAGTAATAAATATGCGACATTGTTTCCTTGCTTGAGGTTATCGCTTTTTAACTGGAGACCATTAGTCTTAACTGTCGCTACAATAGTCCATATATTTATTTGAAAAGATATACTTTTTTGCCATGAACGTCTGAAGCAACTTAAAGCAGGACTTCTGAACAGTCAGGGCTTTGTCTTGATTTGAGCAGCCTTTTACTTAGATTGCTCCAGAGTCAAGTTTGTCACGGAAAATGTGCACCTAGACCTTTTAGCGCTAATCGATTTACCTTCAAAGGCAACTTTGCAGGTATCGTAACTAACTCTGTATAGCTTGAAGCGATTTGGGGCTTTTTGTTTAAATCTGCAAAAAATTTAGACTGGCTTACAATGGGAAGAAAAGAATGCGGAAATTGTAGAATTTTAGGGAAAAGTGAACAAAATTGGAAAAGGGTGGATGCTGAAATGATTTGAAGTGGTATCTTTTCCTGCTTTTCCGTTAGTATCGTGTTTTATATATGCTTGTCGTATCGGTAATCTGAAGCACATCCACCTTTACTATAATTGCGTTAAAAAAATTACCGCGAAATGAGCTGACGATAAGTAGTATGAAGAGTATAGATAAAATTATTAATAGAAAAATGGAAAAATTATCTTATATCTTAACGCGTAATCAGCATGATAATATGAAAAGTATTACAAGATTGCTCGTATGAGGACGAAACCTTGAATGCTCCGACTGCATTTTAATTTTTATGGAGTAGTTTATATTAAGATAATTGGTGAACTTTAGAAAAAAAACATTTCAAAATTTTATTTTCAGTTTTTTTTTGAAAATCATCTGTCCATACGCTATGTAAGGTACAAATGGTTTATTGTGAATTTCGCAAAGTATCGAATCGACAAAAAACATGTCTCGCATTTGAAATATCTTCTTAGACAGATTAAATCTCCGCCAAGTTGGCAATCCTTCAACTCCAATAACTTTTCAAAATTTGAGCTCAAGACAAAAATACATTTCGAATGATTAAAAAAACTTCGGTCAAAAGTTGCAGGCAAAAAAGTAAAAAAAAAAACGTCTGAAAACAAAACCACCCAAGCACAATTATTCCATCTTTTTCTTCAAAAATAGTCAAAACAACAAGTTTTATCTGAATGCTTTGTTGCGACTCAAAACCATTTTGACAAAAACGCTCCTAAAACGGGCATTCAGAAAAAATCAATTTTTTAATGCTTAGGTTTTGCAAGAAGGGGTGATAACTCGAATAGCTCCAAGCAACCTGATATACATAAAAGTTCCTGTCGAAGCCATATATGTTTTCAAACAAAATATAAGACAGTCGCAAACAAATTCTGAATACAGGCCCGATTGCGAACCTTGGACAAACAAGGCTGCTTTACGCTTTTTAGGGTTTTTATTTATTTCGGGGTGTTCGGAGTTTTATGAGTTGTTACCGCTTCTTTCCAAATGTGGGCAGAAACAATACAAAGCAAACAGCAAGTCTGCAAAATTAGTTCGACAATAATTGCTGCTAAAACGGGCTATCAGAAAAAGTAGTTTTCTTTCGCTGAAATTTTGCAGCAACTAGTGATAGCTCAAAATTCTCCAAACAGCTTGAAATACATACAAGTTTTAAAAAAAGCCATGTTCGTTCCCAAAAAAGTTTCATGTCAGTGTCCCAAAAAAGTCTGAATGCAGGCCCAATTGTGTAAGATTGACAAAAAAACGCTGTTAAATGCTGTTCCAAACTAATATTTATTTCGGTTTGTTAGCATTTTTTTTTGAATTATCACCACTATTTGCAAAGTTTCAGCAAAAAAGAAATGATACAAGCAAATGTCTGCCAAACCGTTTGAATAAAAAACGCTGCAAAAAACGGGAACTCAGAAATTAGATTTTTATGCTGACACTTTGCAAGAAGCCGAGATAACTCAAAAATCTTTATGCAGCCTGAAATACATAAGGAACATGAAAGGTGATTATGTTTAGACTATGTCTTTGACTATAGTGAGACACTGTGTGAGATTACATTTAGATGCTATCATGTTCAGACTATGTTCAGACTTTGTTTTGGAGTACATTCGGACACTGCTTCCGAATATACAACTTTTGCTTTTAAGTACTGAGTGTATTCCCAAGCAACGTCCTAATATAATCCAAAATGAAGTCTGAAAACATTCCAGCTTAGCTTTGATTATGATGGCGGTAGTCTGAACATAGTACCAAAAAAAGTTTGTAAACAATCTCAAAGAATCTTTAATTATAGTGCGAAACAAAAACTGAACTTAGTCTTGGACAAATTTTAACAATAGTACCAAGCAAAGACTGAACACATTCCCACCAAAAGTGCAAACAATGTAGTTCCAAAAAGTCTAATCATGGTTTCATCAGTCAGAACGTGGTTTCAATCAAGCTTTAAAGATAATTTGAATTAAAACCTCACAACAGCCCCAAAACTCAGCAAAAATCTAAACAACATAATCACGAAAGTCTGACTGTGATTTTGAGCGTCCGAACAAAGTCTCAAACAAAGTCTGACAATGGTCCCAAAAAATGATGCCCAAAGTTTGTAAGTTCGCAAAATTCCCAATAACATGCATTTTGCTAATCAAACTCTCAAGCAACGTCCTTATATTGTCCGAGAAAAAGAAGTTTGATCAGAACCCCACAAAACTTTAATTAACTCCCAAAGAATGTTTAAATGCAAAGTCTCAAATATTGTCTGAAATTAGTCCCAAGCAGAAACAAATTAACTCACAATCAAAGTCTGAATATTTTCCCAATAAAAAACTGGAAACAGTTTATAACAAAGTCTGATAAAACAATGTTAAAAGCTTATTTGAGACTAAACTCAAAGTTTGCTCGGGGTGATTTTTAGAAATTGTTCGAGACTATGCTCAGAGCTAACCAATCATGCTAATATTTGAGCATTGTTTTAAACAAGGTCTGAGTATCACAGCAAACACAATTTAAGCTTAGTCTCAAACAAATTTTTACATAGACTCAAGCAGTATCTAAACATTGCACAGAGCATAACCTGATCATGAATGCAAAAACAAACTGATAATCGAGCAAAGCAAAGCCTGAAATTTAGCCATTATAACATGTAAAACAACTTTACAAAAAGCATGTATGAAAGGCAGAGAGAAGTGGAAAACAACCTCATCCAGTTTCAAGCGTTAGTAATTGATTATATTACATTTTTAGTACCGGTCTTACTAAAATTGAGAAATAATTGATTTAAATCATTTAAAAATCTATTATAATCTCTTTTTTTTGAAATCAATATATAATTAATTATAATCCATTTCAATTGATTATAATCGATTATTTATCTGTCTACTTTTCGATACAGTTATAACCATTTATAAGTAAATTTAATCCAATATTTTTATTCTAGTTTTTAATTCGTGAGTTTTGCACAAAAGTCCATTATAATCGATTGTAATTGATTATAATTCTTTCTATTTTTCCACTTTGTCTTCGAACTTGAATATAAATTGCTTATATTTTATGCTTTCTGTAGGCCTTGGTTCATATGAAAAATGAGAAAAAAGTTTCTAAAGTTTTCAATTCAATTTATATTTGTAAGTTTTTTTTTTCATTTCTTCCCCATTAGAGTTGTTTTGTTATGCACATTTTAAGCTTTTTTAACCATCAAAATATCAGCAAGTTGATTTAGTTTTATGGTTGATTCGGAAGATTTGTTTTTCATCTATCGTGAGAACAGTTCCACTATTATGAAAGGATCTCTACGAAACTTTTGCTTCGTGGTAAAATTTTGTGTTCAGACGAACCAAAGTGTTCAAGAGATCTCTCTTTTAGAGATTTTGGTATTATTGACAGAAAACTAATAACCCATAAGATATAATTCGAACATTGTTTTGGTTTGAAAAGATTTTGGCAAAATAAGAAATTATAATCGATTATAATCGATTAAAATTGATTTTGAGGGTTTTTGTAAGAAATATAATCAGTTACAACCGATTATAAGAGATTATAATCTCTTGGAAAATATCACGATTATAGTCAATTATAAATCTTTTAAACACCAACTTTTGATATCTATAATAATTATTATTGTCCAAAATTCATCATAATAATCCGTTTTAATCGATTACTTTCGCCTAAACTTGGAGGCCGGTAGCCCTAGGTAACGAATACATAATGTGGTGTGCTGCTAACATGGGTAAAGCACTCGTTTGAATTTCATCTTACGAAAATTATAAACGAAGACGCAGATAAAATTTTTTGATCGTAGAAAAAATATTCGAATTGAGGTAGAATTTGGTCAACTTGCTTGATAGAAACTGAAAAACTGGATAATTTAGGTCACAAATCTCTGAAATTAGTTGGCTGATCACCAACCATCAAGGCCGCCACCCATACAATAGAGCCAGAACAAAACCATTGTTCACCGGCTCAGAGGGTATCAAGGCATCAACTACTAGCTCGAAACGGCAAAGCATTGAAAACATATCCGGCTAGAATCAAAGTAGCGCAGAAATCTTCGATCACTGCTACATTTGCATATAAATATAGTTTTATAGTGTATATATATTGTCTGCTGAGCAGTCGCTTTAACCTTGGCCAAAAATAACTATTTCTTTTGCTGCACTTTTAAATAGCAAAAAATTGTTCTGGCATCAAAGATATTGAGTTCTACTTTTGGCTTTTCAGTACTTAAAATTTTAAGAAATTTATATAATGACTACTACAAGCTAAATTTTGAGGAAGCAAAAGTGGTCGAAGCAATGGCGGGGATAATTGCAGAGGTGGAGGATGGTTAATCAAGATCTGTTCCGAGTGAACTGGCGAGCAGGCAACAAAAATGCGACGAGAAAATTGCAGTTGGTATGAGTACCCGTTCCAATTTAAACAAGAGCTCCTTGAGAGGCTTCGGGAAAGAAAAGTACACGAGCGAATTCGGTAGCTGCGAGAAACACCCGTTCGACGCAAAAAATTTGTTGAAAAAGTTTCTTACTTTTTGTTGCAGTTTTGCTAAACTTAAATCAATCCATATAGTTTGAAAACCTATCAAATAGTGCCATTAATATGAAGCTACCATAAAACTTGATGCCATTGGAACCTGATCTAAACTACATTTTATAATTGGATAAATTGGATATTTTACCACTGTAAAATATTTAAAATTAACCAATCATAATCCATCTAACTAACAACCCACTTATTTGTAAGTGCTGAAATTACTTGTAATTTCAGCACCAGAGAGATTTGAATTTAACTTAGAAATTAGTTGCCTCTCCAAGAGAACTTCAGCAGCCGCAATAAACCAGTATACCCTAGATCTATTGAGCCTAGCAGAGACTAGTTAAACACCCTGAGACTAGTAAGTATAAGAGTAAGATTAGGATCGGTATTAGACTAAGAAGTTGCACGAATCTATAAGGCCGAAAATAAGATAGCGTGA